AGGGAGACTGCACAAAAGATCAGTACCTGGGAGCTGCCCTGAAGATCTGGAACCCCGTAAATTAAGAACGTACTTTCATACAAACTGCCCCTACGGCTGTTTGTGTCCACAGAGCTCTATTTTAAATAGGGACAGAAGTGCTAGATGAAATGTTCCGGTTTCATACCACACTCATGCACTCACACACACCTCAAAAACTACCTTTTTTTTTTTAAAAAAAAACCAAAACTGATAAAGTAAAAAAAAAAAAAAAAAAAGTACTACAATCTCCTTGCAACTAAATAATAAAATTGTGTTTTAACAGAAGTCACCATCCAACTTGAACAGAATTCCTCTACGTTACCGGATTCAGGTGATCCCTCCGGCTTACCACATTTCTTCCCTCCGTGCCCACCCGCAGTTAGTTTCCGTACCTCCTAGAGACATTCACTCCTCTCCATTTTTCATACAGTGCGCTTACTGTGGATTCTTTCGGAACAAGATTCACTATATTCACATGGATTTAAGTGTCTGATTCTGGGTAAAATGCTTAAAATTTTGTTATGGAATTATTTGATCATCATGAGGGCTTTCCCGGCCCTTTTCAGTGACACAGACATACGGGTACTCGCTGGACAGTACTCAAAGTGCCAGGAATTTTGTTCCTACTCACGAGTTACTCCAGCAGCCTGCACGACAGAGGCGAGGCAGGAGAATCCCAAGCTGAAATTCAGCAAAAAGGACTTGATTAAGCCCACTAGGTAAACAATAAATAAGCTTATTAAGGTCAGTAAGAATGAATGAATGCTAACGGGCTAGCAGGAGTGAAGTAACAAGGTGCACATCACGCACGGTCCCCCTCAGCTACGTCATCTAAACGCGTGCCTTCGTTTAGGAAACGGCTCATTAACCCTTGCAGCAGCAGGAGGGAAACGGAGAGCTGCACGCCTTGCACGTCCCAGGCATCCACCCCTTCCATAAATCCCCAGGAGCATCAGCATCTCCGGGTCTAGAATAAAGCTCTCCAAAAGGAGGGGAATAAAAAAAAACCCCACCCCCTGAATTGCGTTCTTCTCCACCAAGAGGCAAGGGTCATGAAGAAGGGGTACCCCAGGTTTTGCCACACCAATACTCTTCTCTCGACTGATCATAGCCATTTGTAGTGCAAGCGATTAGATCGGAGAAGTTAAAAAGGCTTCCTCAAGTTCAAGGCAACCGCAGTGTTTCTTACAACCATTTGTTTCTTTCCCTGCAACGGCAAATGGTTACCTCCAGGCAAGGGGTTGTGTTGGCAACAGCACAAGCAGGTTATTTTTGGAAGAGTACTTGTGTGGGCTTCTGTGCTTTTGAGACCTCTAGATATTTAGGTATATGTGAAAAGGAGGAGGAGGTTTCAAGACTACTGACAAAAAAAGCAAATTTGGGCATCAGCAGTGGCAGAAGGCCCCATTTTAAAACGTGAAGAGATAACGATGCTCAATGACAAAATGGTCCGGACCCTTTAAAGGTGCGTCTGTGGCATCGTAAGGGAATTTATTTAGTATCCTACCTTTGCTTCAGAGGGCCCCTGGACACACACCTGTAACACCATCCCAGAGCACTCGCAATGACACCCAATTCCCAGGTGAGCCTGCTGACACAGCCACAAACACCACCGGCTACAGACTGACACCACCAGAGACCGCAGACTCCTAACACGGCGCTCCAGGCACCCTTACCGCAGCCTGCTCCAAATTAAAAAGCAAAAAAACCACCAACCCAAAACCCAAACCCAGATAAAGCCTTATCTCTGAAAGTAAAGAACATCACCTTCAGAGCTCAACAGGGTTTACATTCAGAACTATGGCTACAAACCTACAATTTTCACTGCAATGTCTTTTGGAATTTAGTGGAAGATGCTATTTCTAGACAATAAACCATCTAATTAGGCTTTTCAAGCTAATCAGGTTACAAAACGCCTTTTTAAAAAGTCACAACAGTTTAAAAAAAGCCCTCCGATAGCAATTTAATTATGCCTGATAGACATTTCGAGAAGCAAGACTCGTGCCAAACAAGCGAGGCTGCACAAAGATCCCAATTCCCTCGCCGGCAGCTCCGCGCACACACCCATCTCTACAGCAGTAATTTCTGTCCTCAGCCAAGTGAAACAATCTACGCTTACAACTGCCAAACTAACATTTGCGGTGTAACACACCTGTGCTACCTCAAGAGACACCATCAACTGTTCCCTCTTCTGCTCCACATCGACAGACAGCCAGTTAAGCTCCACTGGCATCAGGGAAGAGGGGCGAGAGAAAGAATTCAGGCTCAATTTCTGTACTACAATCTTACCATGCACTAATTCTCCACTGACCCTTGCTCAGACGTTCTCTACTGCTTGCCTTGTGTTCATAATACTTCGATATAAAACCAGAAGAGATTGTGAAAGACTCACTAGCATAGTAAGCCTAAAACCGTATCGCTAATAGCTTGCTGTCCATCCTCAGAGTGGGACAAAGGTGCCTTTGCAAAAAGCTTCGGTTGCAGCAAAAGCTCACAGTATTTTGTATACGCCATTCTATACACGCAGCATCATCAGAATCAGCTGGTCCACCCTCCAAAGTGCTTCAAAACCACCTCCACTGTTCTTCTAGAGAAGAATGCGGAGAACCGCAAGTGTCAGGTCTTACCTAGCAGTGCACTAAGTGGGAAACTAAAGTTCTGGTTCAAGCATCAGCCTAAGTTGGACAGTTTCAGGCACATGATTTTTACTGCAGCACACGCAGGTGAGCACATCTAAAAAGCAAATAAAGTACATCCTACTGTACACATGGACTCTTGTGCAGCCACTTCTGCATTTCACCAACACACTCAACCTATCTCCTCGTGTTTCAGCCAAAGCACGTGGCTTATGACCTCCGTGCCTCCCTGGACTTGAGGGGCAAAGATGATGGAAAGAAGAGGCCACAACTACTGGTGCAGCTTTTCTAAAACACCTTCTTCAGGCTCTCGGGTATGAGTACCAGGTTCTGGAAGCATAACTACATATAACCTAAGGGCGCACATCGATGGTAACAATACGAAAGCTCCTTCCCTTAAAGATCCAGATGTTCCATCGTCCTTCCATCCACCCCTGCTTGGCCCTTCCAGACCAGCACCCGTGTCCTACGTCCCAGAAAACACCAGCTGGTATCCATATCAATTGTAGTTGTGGAAATGAAAAAAAAAAACCCCCCACTCTTCAGTGCTACCATTTAAACCATTAAGACCCAGGCAGGCCAGTTACAAACCACTGCACTAGCCCACAAGTAACCCTTTACAGATAGAGCATGTTGAGCGTTCAGTCGCTTTCTGCATCTCTGACAAAGCACCGTATTTGCCAGCGCGTCGATACCGTCTGTAGATAATGAATTCGGAAGGGTAAAAGCTTAGCAGCAGCGAGGTAAAATAAAAGGAGTGTTAGAATTTTACTGCATCATCACTAATAAAAACCAGACCGAGTAACTGATCAGGGCACTCGATGCCCGCTGACAGCAGCACTGTACACTGACAGGCTCTACACACCTCGCGTCTACACCGTGTCTTTCATCTACTGAAATACAAGTTGTACAGCTCACATGAGTATTTGATCCTGGTCAGTATTTTATTCTATCTTGCGAGTGGCAGAGGAAGAAAGGGAGGACATCTTTTCAGCCAAAAAAATCCACAGTAACAAAAGCAGGATATTCACTAGAAGATGACACCAGTGCCTGGTGTCCTTAGGTTGTCCAAGACTATGCTCTGAAGATGCTTTACATAAGATGAGCAAGATGTCCAAAACAAGGCCAACTGTGGTATAAGATGCAATTTACCCTTTAATTTCCTGCCTTGATTTCACCCAGCCACAGAGGATGACTAGATTTCAGTATGAACCATTACCTAAATCATATAGTCGGTATGCAGATATATGTCTTTCTTTAAAAATTTACTTAAAAACTGCTTGAGCTGCAGGTTGTATCAGTCTGATTTGGAGTGAAGGCAGTTCCAACAGTACAATAGAGACTTGTCTACAGGCAGGTAAACGAGAGTCTGCTAACAAAGGGGTAACGAAAGCTGCTGGCTGGGCTGCCAATGTTGCACACAAACTTTCATAGGATGAAGATGCTGTGGATGAGATCCAGGATGGGAAAACTGAGCCAACACCTGCTGCTGTTCTAATTTTTTTTTTTTTTTTTATTCTCCTCTCACAAGAGGGCGTGGGTAGACTATACAGAGGAGGGCTGTACAAAACTGGGCACTAGGCAGGCATTTCTTCAGCAGGCAATCCAGGCTCTACCTGTCCTTGAGCTCTCTTGTCACCCGCTTGGTGATGCGTCCACACATCAGGCCGATGAGGAAGAGTACACAGATGCCGACCGTGATCACAGACAGTATGTAATTCTTGGACGGAGAGGTCATAACTTGCATGGCAAGGTCAGAAAAGCCTTCCGCTGGGGCAACCTAGAGGTGATAAGGGAATAAATGAGCCAAGCTGCGCTTTCCACGCGACCCTCAGCCTCGGCATTTATCAGGTTTAGTCTCTCGTACTGCTGTCATAGTCAGGCTTGGCCCGAACCACAAACAAGCAAGCCTGCAGTGAATCATCTGAAGGAAGAACTTCTCAGGCAACAGCGTTATAACAGCAGCTCTGCTGACCCTGCTTCATTGCCCCAGACCTTCTCTAGAGGTGCAAGCCCTGCGTGCACAAAAGACTATTTAATTCTGCACCGTTGAGGATGCATCCCAGACACTCGGAGAATAAGACATACAAGTTCAAAATAGAGAGACTCGATCTCAGGTTTTCTGGACCAAACTCAAAACGGTAAACGAGAGTTTCACTGCAGTTGAAGTTTTTCATAAATAGCTTGCAACAGAAAGATCCAATGCAAAAAAAAAAAAAAAAAAAAAGGAAGCAGTTTACTGAAACCCTTTACATATTCACCTTTGCAGCATAGCTCCACATTTCAATCCGATCATTAAGGCGTTTCTTGCATTCGGGCTGCAACCTCACGCGCTTATCTTCCAGAGCTTCCATTAAGCACGACATTTCTGTAATGTGCAGAAGATGGTGTTACAAAATAGAAACAGCAGCTTTAACAACATGCTACGGAAAGGCTGCTGGAAAGGGACACTTCAGTTCTACTAAAGGCGGACGGTTGCAGAGCTTTCTAAACAGACTAGCCAGCCTGACAGACTGCATGTGAAGCCCTGTTGTACCCTTGAAGCTAGCTATTTCTCTAGGATTCATGATTAATCTTGCATTTTGAGGCACAAGGAATTCTGACTTCTAACAAGAAATTACAGCATGTATCCAAGGTGTAATTCATGTGATTTTATAAAGTCTTACAAGCTTGCACCTTCAGTGAGCTGTACTCTAAATTCCGTGACACCACCCTTTAGAGAGAGCGGAGATCAAATTCAGCTCAGGAAAAAACACAGTGTATCTCCTTAGGCTTGTTAGGAGTTTCTTTGGATCAACAAAATGTTTTTGAGATGTGTAACTTCCTGAGTTTTCACACAGTCCTGTGCAAAGGAAATGGGATCACAGTGTTCTGGGTGCCTACAGTGCGCCTCAGCTAATTCATAAGCTCTTTTATATGCTCATATGAGACACTGACATAAAATTTTGTATTTTATACTTATACCGCCTTACTTGAACAATCCCTAACTGGATGCTTTCTGCTTTGCAACCAAGAGTTATTTTGTTCATAGCAAACAGGCTGCAAACTTTAAACTAACTCCAGACTTTCTAAACACAATCGTCAGTTCAAACGCTCACAGGCAGATCCCTCTCTGAGCTACAGACTCTGCATACCCTCAGTGCAAACGTGTCAGAGCACACATCAAAAGAATTACGACAAAACAGGAATAAATCAAGGATATCCAGAATTTCAGAAAGGCATTCAGTAACCAGCATGAAAGGTAACTACCAGGAAAATACTTGGCTGCTATTTTTAACGCCAGATAAACTCAGAAAGATGGGAAAGTTCAGAACTTTCCCCCCTCCCACTAGCTTTCCTTAAGCAGCCATACGTACTATCCAGCTAGCTAACGTGACCGCAGCAGCAAAGTGCAAGAGCTTGACCTCAAACAGGAAAAGAATGCGTTAGGAAACACTTAAATAAATGATGTTTCAAGTGGTCTGAACCTGATGAAATTGGTCTTAGGGGACCTGGAACAGCTGATGGAAGTCTCAAAGCCTTTAGCAGCTATTTGGACTTAGAAAATGTAGTATCATCTACCCTCTGTAATATTGGAAAAGAAACCCCGGGTATATTTAAACAGAGAAGAAAAAAGAGGATCAAAGGACTTCAGTTTAATTTTGTCTGTCAAAAATACTGAAACAAAGAAGCCAACCATGGACAAAGACCAACCAAGAAAAAGGACCAAGGGGATTAGCTAAGAATGAACCTTGTGAAACCAAACTGATTTGCTTCTGTAAAAGCAGCAGCTTACTTCCCAGGAAGCTTTTGATGCAGTCTGATATAACACCATCATAAGTCAGCTCAGGAGCTGTATCCTGTGTGAAGCCGATACAGAGTGGGAGATAAACCTCACTGAAATGTCAGTCCATATATTTCAGTCCATGTGTATTAAGAGCCTGTTTTCAACAGCATTTAGCCGAGGAGGGATTTTACAGAAGGGTTATGGATCTGGCATCACACACTCTTGTCAGTAATCATATGAATGACGGACTAGGAAATATACTCATTAAATTTGCAGATAAGGCTGCAAGGATATTATATCAGGATTGAAGAACTGGTCCCACCTTGGACACAAGGAAGGGCTTCTTGACAGCCATCTTCTAGTGGTACCTACCACCTCTGCAGCTATTCCCCTTCGTTACCCACAAAGGGCTGGTGGAAAGATCTGGTACTTAAGACAAGCTGGGTTCTCTTACTAGCATTAAGGCCCTCAGGACTGAGAGGTTATACGAGTAAAGCACGAGCACTTACGGCGTCCTCTTCCTGGTGGAATGGCAGCACAGTGGTGTTTGATGTCCAGGGCACAGGCTGTGTGGAGCACTGGATCAACAAATATATCTGCTTTGCTTTCTTTCAGCATGTTGAGCACTTCCTGAGGAGGGGGGGAATTACAAGTACATCTCAAAACAAGGAGAGAGAACAAACCTCATGCTGTTCAATGTTTCTGAAAGGGGCATCATCTTTTAAATCCAGGATCATGAGAAAAAACACCACTGTCCCTGGATGAGGCTATGAATGCTGGTTTAGGCTGGATTAAATGTCCTGGTTTAAGGGTTATCATAGTTACAGTCATTAAAATACCCATATTAATCTAAAATACAAAGTCAATATGCCAGGGTTACTTCAGTTAGAACTGAAATAAGGTGTTGGAGCCCCAAGGCAACTCATACAGCCCTTGATCATAGCCAGTGCCTCGGCCATAGCCAGCACTCAGGAAGCCTGCAACGGAGACAGTAACAGAAAACAGATTAGTAACGAGAAACTTTGGCAACCATAATCAAGAAAGGATTGAAGCCTGGAATCGCAAAGGAGGCAGTCAGCACAATTTTCACTGGCAAATTGAAATTGAATTGAATCGCTGCAGGCCAGAACTGAGATGTGTAAGGAAATTTGCAGAGCTCTGGCTTCATACTAGCTAGAGCATGGCCTGGGCTGTGATCTGGAAAAACGACCGGTTTCTGCAGGGACAGGATGCCTTTTAGAGCACATTCAATTTATTTCCTTTACCTTCTTGCACATTTCAGTTTTTATTTTCAGCAGATTCACTTTCAGACATTCTTCCACCTGCCCAGTCTGCTCCTGAGCTGCTGCTTCTTCCGCACACAAGCTGGAAATCTATTTTGAAAAAGGTATTTTAACATAAGTAGCTCACAACAATTATTCTGGCTTTTAGCACATTTGTATCTCAGTACATTAGTTCATCACAGGGTGCAGCCAGAGAACACAAGATGAGATACTTTACCCCGCACCCCAGAATCCCCAGAGCCAAACGCAGCCTGGCTCATGCAATATGCATACCCTTTGAGACCCAACAGCAAGAAGTCAATATTGCCGTACTGAGAGGAAAGCAGGGAGGAAAACAACATTGAAGTGATATTAAGATATGAAATAAGCAATATTTGAGACATGGCTGATTCGGCTATCAAAAAAGTGAAAGCTCAAAATCTGAATGTATTCCAGTTAAGGGTGACAAGACAGAGAACTAGCAAAGGTTTGGGTTTTTTGTTTTGGTTTGGTTTTTAATTTTTTTTTTTTTTTAACAAGAGGAAAGTATTTTTCCATAGTCACACATACTGATGAGATCCCAGATGAAAAAAATTAACTTTATATTAGCACTGCACAGGAAACTGCAATTCTTGCACACTAGACAGAAATTACAAGGAGAGAACCTGACTAGCTAGAAGCAGTTCAAAGAAGGATTTTGTTCATTTTAATTATCAGGATAGTTCACATTTTAAGAAACAAAATCTGTTTTGCGAAGGGAGTTTTCATCGTGAAAAAGTAGCTGCTGAGCTACTTCTCCTACCTCTTCAGAGCAGTGCATCTGAAGTTGGGGATCCAGCCGATAATCAAGAGCCGATTCCTGGATTATCACTCGAATTTGGTCCTCGCAGTCTGGAGAGAGACGCTATTAAGCGGAGAAAGTCATTAACCCACTCAATGACCTTTATTTTCATAAATCAATCACCTTGCATTTTAACCTGTGTATTCTGTAACACTTGTACAGGAGCGTAAAAACTCATTTATGTACAGCCTGTTACGTACATCGAACACGCCGCAAGCCCAAGTTTGATTTGTTATTTAACGTCCATCGCTCAGCACAACCCTGCACAGTGTCTTGTTCGCACGCACCAGCTCTACCCACCTGGTCTGCGTATTTCAGCTTCAGGCATGAGATGACTTGTCCTTCCAACTCTGTATCATCCTTGGCCCTATTCAGGATATTTTGGCAGAATTTCGGTATGTCTGCTTTGCATGCCTTCCTGAGCACTGGATTTAACCGGTAATCTAACCGGGAAAGATGACAGAATTTCATTAGAGTACATATCTCTTCTGATTACAGAACATAACACTCCAAAATAGATTTGATAAAAATTTCCTGGATGATGTACCACCAATGAATTTAATTTTGGGGAAAACCAGTATTTTTTCAAAACAGAATTTTAACTTGTGAGTTAAGAGCTTCAGGAATAAAGCAGATCCAATAATGCATGCTGACCCTCAAGAACTTGACCGAATAAAGTCAACGTGTGCACAGACAATCAAGGAAGGAGAATAAAACAAAGCGAATATACTTCCAGCCATGCAGATCACTCAGCAGCTCAGGCAGGCAAGTTAAGGGTTTTTTTCCAGAAGAGGATACCTGTGTTCTGTGTAATCTGGCGCTTGGTAATCATTTGCTTGCATTTAGGATCCATCACTTCACTGTTCTTGTTTTGTTTCAAACACTGCAACATGTTTTTTGAGTCTGCCTCTGGACAAAACCGCTACCAAAAAAAAAAACCCAACCCCAAAAAAACAAGTTTCATCACTGAGCACTTGGAAAAAAACCCCCAAACAACTACACTCACAGAAGAGAATAACCACCTGCCCAACCCAGAGGTATACAGACACATCTCCTATTAAAAAGAACAGTGCTATTCCCTAAATTGACTATGGGCATGAATATCTCTGCTTATGGACTGAGCACTAAGCCGTAAAGTCTCGACTGGCTTCTAGGCACCAGTTTCTGTCAGCAGCAGCAAAGCAATTTGCTTTTATTTTCTATTCTTAAGTTACAGCACACTTTGCAAGAAATACCCACCAAATTAGGTCTCATACCCAACTACTTCCACTCCCCTTTATTTTAGAAACTAAAAAGAGAATCTTTTAAGTCTATATGCATACCGCATAAATGCTGGCTGGATAAAGCGACAGGCAAAGGCTTCATTAGTAACACCCAGGACAAAGTAAGACCATACAGAACGAGAAGCAGAGAAGAGCTCACTGATACTAATTTGCCCATTCCCGCTCTGAATTAGATAGTCAACAGTGAACCAGCTTACCCAAAATTCAGACCTATTTCTTTTGTTAGAAACTAATCCTGTGGGTGTAAAATAAGGCTGTTGCATCTTCTAATCCTCACCATTTTGTTGAGATTACAGGGTGGGGTGGGGGTTTTTTATTATTATTTTTGGGTTTTTTAAAGCATGAGTCTGTACTGGAGAGCAATACGTTCTCAAGATGTTCTGCTTCAGCCACAATACGGAGTCAAGGTACTGCATACACACCACACATATTAGTGTTTCAGGGCTTGCAATTCTGGCTACTGTGCAAAAGCGTTTATTAACGTTCACTGCTGCTTTCCACATGGTACTACTTTAAGCCAGCATTTCTAATTTTTAAGTTTTGTATAATTCTGAAACACAGCAGTCTTGTAACAAGCCTTTATGGGAAGCTCAAACCAACAGAGCCTCTTATATCCCTACCTCACCTCTTAAATGAGCACATTTCCATTACCTTGATCATCTGCTTGCAGACTCTCATGAGCGTGTAGTCCAGCTCTGGATCCATCATCTCTGTCTCCTGCAGTTTAAACACCTTCTGGTGGCACCGGGTACTCAACTGCTTCTTAACTTCTTTCAGGCATTCAATGATCTACAACACAGTATTACAACCATGACAGACAAATTGTTGAGATGATTCTGTCATTTGCTGCTCAAAACATACACCTATGTGTTCCCCTAATGGCTATCTTCACCTGATTTGTGCACTAAAGTTTCCAATGCCTAGATTTTATCAAAAGTCATTAGTGATACTCATTTCCAGGACTTGCTTTAAGCTCCTGTTTTCTCACAAAGATTTAATGAAATGAAGAGGGTCGCCTAGACTTACTCCAAAACACCAAACCTCATCTTGCAGACATTATCCCTAAGAAAACTTTAGCAACATTTGCAGTAAACAGCTGCTAATAGCTTAAAACTAGCATTAACTGAAGAATGAAGTGCTCACAGCATTGCATTCACTTGGTATTAATGCTCGTGAAGCAGTGGGGAAAAAAAAAAAAAACAACCCCAAAACAAAACCATTCCAAAATACTCCCCAAAGATTTCAGTGATATCAAAATGAAAATCTAAAGCTGCACTCAAAAGGGCAAAATTGTTCTTCAAGAGTCTTCTGAAATGAAAGTACAAATGAAATTGTAAATTATTAATAAAATCCATTACCTGGGCATTGCCATAGGGCACGTTTTGGCAGTAATTCTTGATGTCGCTTTTACAAGCCTCATACAGTTCTGGTTCAAGCCTTATATCCTCGGTCTGCAGGATAAATTACAATATCAACTTTTAAGTAGGACTCTAAAGACTACTTTACTTTGTTAGTCTACTAACTAGAGCCCTCGACTCACAAAAAGCAAACAACTCTCACAACAGGCAGGTCGGTTTCTTTCAATTTAGGGGTCTCGGGCACGAGAAGTAGTTGTTAGTGGGAAATCAACTTTGCAAATCCACGCTGTGGATCAGCTGGCATTTTACGCTGAAGAAAGGGTTTACACTGAATTTTAGAGCTGGCAAGGTGCTTCCACTACTCCTTCTAAAAGGGCATCAACACCAATGTCCAAGACAACTAAAATCTTTTCATGTGAAAGCCAAAGGATATATTAATAGCCACTCAACGATTGGTGATCTGGAGGATGTGAATGAAGTGTCCTGGTTTTAGTGATGCCCAGCATTTGAATTCTTCCATACAAAGGCAGGAGTGGTGCCTTTTCTGATACGGGCCTACTTCAGGTGAAGCTTTAACACTCAAGCAGTATTACTGGACAAAGACTTTAAGAGTTCATTGCTGCGAACACTGCAGCAGGAATCTGAGAGGCAGCCTGGCCTACCAGAACAAATACTACTCCTATTTATCCACTGAGCAACTTGGAGCAGCTGGAGTTGAGTTGCTTCATCTGTGCTTGTTTCCTCAGTCTGTAAAATGAAGCTTTTATTCTCTCCTAGAGGACTTTAAGGACATCAGCATGTGTAGCACGTTGCTATCTAACACTAAACATAATCACTCTAGCTGAAATTCCAGTGACCATTTAGTTTGCCTTAGCCTTCTTGAGACTATATTTAAGGCATTAAAATAGACAATCATTACTTTCACCGTGAAGGGCAAATGAGTCTCGTGTTGCAAGAGAGTGGAAAAAATAAGTTAGATCTATCTTACAAGCGAGCTTCCTTTTTCTTCCACGGTGGACAAACCAGGAAGCTTTAATTGAAGGACCTCGCTAGAAGAGCGGGCAGAATAAAGAGCTTCATGCATGTTTACCATCTCTAGCTCCTCAACACGCAGCTGTTTGCGGCACTTCAGAGAGACCCTGTGCTCCTTGGCATCCTGCAAAGTATCATTGCGCACAGTTGTGCTCAGACAGATCACCACATCCACCCTGCAGAAAAGAAAACAGCTTTTTACTCATACCCTTCACTTAGACCAGCCAAGATTGAAGTCGGATCGCTGCATCTGAGAATCCAAACACAACATAAAGTCCTCGTGCATCTGTGCTTACTTCTAGTCTGGGAACAGCTCTACGTAGAGTAACTGGATCACAATTAAAGCCTAAATCTGATGATATCTATTTGGAGTCTAGATCAGCAGACAGGAAGATACTCAAAATCCCACCATAGCCTGGCCCAGCAATACCTCTGCTCTGAAGTCATGCGAGCACTTTAGAAAAGCTTTACTGAATCTCAGAAACAGACCAAGGTGGAATACCTACATGGCACTGCAAGCAACCTTTTGGCACTACGGGAAGGGCATTTATATCATAAAATGCAAATAGTCTGGCTATCCACGAACAGGATTGACATTGTGTGTAATTTAGCCTTACGTCATTGCAGTAGGCCGTTAAAAAACCCCTGCTACTGAAATGAATAAACCAGCTGTAACAAGTGGGGTATTTTCCCTTCCCAGATCAGCAACTGGAACAACAGTAGCCTGCATCTTGGAAGACAATAAATCTACCAAGGATATAAAACATCCTGGGACATGCAGTCCACTAATTTTAATCACCACCTATTTTCAGAGCAAGAAAAATAAAGAGGACAGGTTTGTATGCAAGAGGAAAGCAGAAGTAATTTTCAAGAGGCAAGCAATGCCTCTACCTTAGGCATCTGCAGAACGCAGTCACTAAGGGAACACACACAAAAGAATCAGCCTTTAAAGGAAGTCCAGCCTTTGCTGTCCTATTGTGAAATATCATAAAAATATGTAAAGTTACAGGATCGCATTGCTGTTTGGTCAGGTGCTACGTACTTTTTTTTGATGTTGGGGCAAAGTTTCAGCACATCCTCCTTGCAAGCCATTTTAAACTTGTATGAGAACCTAAAATCCTTCATTTGAACCTGTAAGAGAGAAATGAGGAAAAACACAAAACAACTTTGGTCACCTGAAGGGAAAAGAAAAAAAAAAAAAAAAAAAAAAAAGAGAAGTACTGCCCAAAACAATACTTGTTGAATCATACAATCAGCAAATGCTTTTGTCCACAACTATATTAATGGGGAAGCAGGGGGGGTGCTGCACTGCTGAAGAAGCTGGGACCCTTATCTACCATACACCAGGAAGGAAGGAGGGCCAGAAAAGAAATCATCTCCAGAAACAACTATTTGTGACCAGGCATGCAAGTACAATTGCCCAAATTCACAAGAACACTTTAAATACAGTGGGAAACCAATCTCAAAGAAGGAGGGGTTTTATAATTAGCTAATTCCTGTCAACACCCTCAATGAACAGAACAGGCTTCCATCGACAGTGGAAAAAAGTGGTGCTTACCAGCTGGAAATGAGTAACTCCGATTGCACATTTCTCATTCATTTCCTTCTGGTGTTTGTTCTGTATTAGACACTCCATCAGGTCCCCAGAATCAATCTGGTTATCTGCAACCTCCTGAAGAAGAGATAAAAGGCTTAAAAATTAACTACTCTTACAAGACAGGATTTTTATGCTGCTGTAGCACTCTGTGACCAGGAAATAATGGAACTTACAGTGCCACACTCTGTGAGAGCTTACACTCACCATTAACTGACCACCCAAAGAGTTGCATCACACAAATATTTACAGATACAGTTCTGAAAAGAGTCATCTCAGGCATGTGTACACTTCAGACTCAGGAGAACATGCTGCAGAGACTTAGTGCCTACATTAAGTACTAAAGCTAGCTGCTGCCTTCATTGCTATTTAACTACTCAATCCTAGAGCAATGTAAGAAGTTATTTCAGCAATGCTGAGCAGCTGCACAGAGTGGAGCGGCTAGACACACTGCTTGTGGGCAAGGGGGAAGGAAAAAAGTTGAGTTTTTAAGCCACTGTAAAGAGCAATTTTGCCAATTACAGGGCAATTTTCATCTTCAAATCCCTAGCTTTTGTGCCTGGGCTCTGACAACAGCAGAAGTACTAGATGGAACTAAGAATTCTTGTTTCAGAGTGGTTATTACAGAGTACTCACATGGCAGAACGTCTGGATAATGGGCTCACACGCCCTCATCAGCAAAGCTTCAATTTGAATGTCCTGCAAAAAGCATGCGATATTTCATTTTCATAGTGAACGGACAAGAAAAAAAGGCTCTGAAAAATAACTGTGATAAGTTTAAACTCAACCCAATTCACAGGGTTTTGAAAGATGCAATCCAGATAGCTTTGCCCTTCAAGTTCTGGAAATCCTAGGGTTTGCTCTTGCCAGCAATGCGACAAATGCAAGACAAGCCTTCCAGCTAAAGGGAAGAGTATGGTCTCCACACAAACTCCTTGCTTGGATATTTCAGCCAAACTTTTGCAAACTGGATGCTACAGCACTAGAAATCACCTTACACCTAGACAGGAGTTAAAAGATTAATGACAGTTCTGAGCAAACCATTTTGTAACCACTGGAAGGAAGCCTTCCCTAGGGCATAATGTAAATTTTAAGAGATACAGGAACAGTTTGGGGCAAGACAGTCAAATATACAGCTTCGTAAAATAAGTAAAGCTGCTGGCCTCACTGAAAACTTCAAATGATGCACCTGGCAGTTATTCCTTGCAAAATTTTTGGGACAGAGGGAGAGAAGTTGCAATATGGTACTCAAAACTACTTGCAAGTAAGACCAAAAAATGAAGTCCCATGACATATCTTGACTTGTACTAAAGGTAACTGGGTTATCTGTGCAACAAATCTTAGCTTCAGCACCACAACCAATTTTAAGCAGGAGAAACGTCATCACCAGCCTGAAATCCTGAACTGTTGTTCATTTTTCTTCGTCAAGGACTCTCTCCACCAAAAACTTCCATTGTACAGGGTAAAAAGGATGGTCTCTGCCTGATACCAGAGGTGCATTTCTGCAGCTACTCTAACCTCGCTTTGTTTCATCACTATCAACGCGACAGGCTTAGTCAGACACGCTCAACTATTCCCTTTATCCCAGGCTGAAAACCACTCACCTCAGACTCCAGCTCAGTGAGGTTTCCCACTATGTCTCTGCAATCAGACACCAAGTCATCAAGATGGTCCTGAAGGCATTCCAGCTCCTACAAAATCAGGCATTTTAGCGTGTGATCCAAGAACCCAATTCAGAAATTTGGGCTTGAAATATTGTAACACATGTGAAACTGCCCTCCTCCTTGTAAAGTCCTAAGTCTCGCTCAATCCCGCTCCTCTACTGGCATATCTCAGAAGATATATACGTAGTAGTGATTGAGAATGTTGGTCTAGGATGTAACTGCTTGTTCTCAAAAGCTGCACAATGTGCTTTCACCTCTAGAATATCACATTTAGTTTGCCCTTCGCACAGCCTTAAGGAGAGGCTGACTACCCAAACTACAGCCTACAATGGGCACTTCAAAAAGACAATGGTGTATGCTCTACTGCATGGGCTGTTGAATGGCTCCTCCCCTACAGCTCTGCTAGGGCACAGCAATTTAACATGAAAGTATTTGTTGAAACTTTGTTAAGTAACAGCAGATGTTAGTTCAGTTCTGTATAAACACAGGAAGCGTGTCAGTATTTGCCAAATGGAAATAGGAAAAAGTTTATGTGGGAAATGTCAAGCTTGTAATAGAATATTACAAATAACAGTCAGGGTGGGGTGAGGTTGCTTCATTAAAGTCCTTCTTGTTAACTATCCCTTTCCCTCTTCTCATTCCACTACACATCTGAACCTACTAAAGCCATGCAGCAGGCATAAAGCTTCTTCGTATCACCTCCGTCTCTCAGTCTAGTGCAGATTATGTTTCAAACCGCACCCATTTTTAATACATTCTCAGCTATAAAGAAGCAGCTAACAAAAAAATGCCTCTTCATCCCCCTTCTGCCCTTCCTACCCCTCCAGCTTCGCAAACAAAGTAGCAGCGTTACTGTGCACAGTACCTGCCCTGTCTCCGTTTTTTCACTGCACCACTTCCCTAAGTCAATCATGCACTTGTCCTGGAGGGCTGGGTCCAGCTTCACATCCATGGCACGCTGGTGGAGGATTCTCTGGACCTCTGCTCTGCACTCTCGCGATAGCTGCAAAGAGAAGAAAGAGCACTTAGCGTATGGGGTCTCTAAATCCATACAATGCAAATAAGATGTTGTCAGGTAAGGTACTGAGAGTGACCACGAATGCCATTGGCAATCCTGGAACGTGCAGGACAAGTCCTGCAATCCAGGCTCCAGAAGAGTTTGGAGCTCTGTCATTTAGCTTGGATGGAAGCTCCTTTCATTTCACTAACATAAATTTTATATTCATAAACCTTCACTTTGCTTTTGAAAGGAGATGTCAAAGCAGGTCCCTAGATTATCTGCTGCACCAGCAGCTTCATTCAAAGCTACAGACTGCGTATGGAGAAGAAAGTCAAAATAGCTCATGCCCTCAATGCCAAAAGGGAAGCCCAGAATGAGGCAATACAGGCCAGCTGGAATTTCTTCTCAGCAATCCCCACTGCAGCACATCAGAGCCAACATTTGCAAGACTGAGGAAGAACAAATTGTAGAAAATCAAGGGATACTGGTATGGTGCTTGTCAGACCCAAAATGCACCGGTCAAAGCTTAAAACTTCATACATTTAAAACTCCGAACTGCTGGAAGTTACCTAGCATTTTGTGGACAGCACTGGGAAAAAGTACAGATCTAACGTCTGATGAGTTTGCTTTCCAATGCTGCATTTCAAAGTGACAGCTGCTCCCTTAGCCTACTTTCCACAAAAAAAAAAATAAATAAATAAAAATATACATTTAAAAGCCTTTTCTCTCTCTGATAGATTATTTGCAGGGTGGCTATTGATTTCTTTGGTCAGCACTAATATAAAATGGAATTAAAAAGTCTCAACTCAGCAGACTAAGAAACTGCATTTAAAAAATTATTCCTAAAAGAGAGATGCTTTCAATCAATACTTGACCTCTGCCACAAAAGACCTTTTAAATCAAAAGCTGTAGAAATGAATTTTTAAGCCAGGCCATTGTGTCAACCCACCAACTCCTAGGGACTGCATACACTACAGTACCAAAAGAAACGGAACCGAGTACCCAGCCACCTTCAAGAGAGTGCCTTGATAAAGGCACGAGAGGGCAGCAAACTTGAGAAGAGTAGCTCTGAACCAAACAAATGTGATTATGGTGGATCTCCAGATTGCAGGGCAGCAAGTCAGATCCCTACTGTCTTCTTTAAAGACAGCATAAGCACATTTACCAATATGCCTCAAAGAATACTTTATATGAATAAAAGAATTTAATGGGAGTATAGTCTGAAGTTGTACTCAAATCAAAACTTAATTAGAAACAGCCTAGGAAAGCTGGGCTTGGAACTCCTGTCTGAATAAACCCAATTTTGCAGCTATGCTAGCTATCTACAAGGAATCACATTCCTCTCTGGAAAGATGAGGGGGAGCATTTGCACTATGTCTAAGCAGATATCGTTGTCAGCACGCAGTTCCCCCTGCGGGCAGCTGTCACATCCTGATGTGGCTATTTTGCCTTACCAGAACACCACCACAGACCGTCCAGGTGCACTGGAGGAGTTAGGCATCTGAAGTAGTGCAAATACCACCTTCGGTAAACGCTTTTAAGTAGCTTTTGCAAGTTCTTGCAGTTTTAGCATGGCGTGTCCAACTTCCAAACGTACATGCAACCCTTCTATCACAGAGCAAAGAGCACTGAGTTGCACTTTAGCACTTACCCTCCTTCCTTGCTCCTCTGTGCGGTACGCATGCCTGTACAAGCAGGAGAAAACAGCCCCTGGAGGCATCAGCTCACTAGTCTCGTTCCAGCCATGGGTATGGCAGAGACGGGAGGCATCTCCCTGACACTTGCGGTAAAGGACCGTATCCAATCTACAAACAGAAAAGTTATCACTAACACTTTATGCAAATCTTCAACATTTTTCATATTCTGAAATGCTTCTGAGGCAGGAAAATCTACTTTTTATACACCATCACATCATTTAGCAGCGGTGTCTAACCAACCGAACCAACAGGTGGCAAAACGCCCATCACTTAGTTTGGCATCAACTCCTTTATCTTGCAAAAATACACCAAGAGCTTTAATTACAGATTAAATCTTCAACACTTCTTGAAGCGCCTCCCATTCTCAGCTAAATGCTGACACATGAGAAAAGAAATCATCTCCTTGATGTCCTAAAGCAGCAGAAGGGCAGGTACATACCATGTTTTGCTTGTACAATATCCTACGTGTACTTTGTACTGCTGTCATTTTGAAATGCCAGTTTCATAAAAATCTGAGTTCAATTAATTATTGTCTGCTCTGGATTTGAGCTAACTGAAGACTCAGCATCCTCTGCTTTTGCATACAAGAAAACTGCAAGTGCAGATCTCTTAGGATGACGTCTAATCACATTAAAGCTAAGTGAGATACTGCCAACTTGCCAAAATGGAAACTTCAGATTTCTACCACACTTTAGGAGGCAAACATCAAGTGCTATCAGTGGGCACAATTATATAGATAACAATAAAAGTAGTAGGAGAACCATTTCTACTCCGTGCATCTGTGCTAACAGTTTTTATAAGCTGGTTCTAGGAAACAGCGGTTAAACAAGAAAGATGAGCTAATGTTGCCCAGCCTGCAATGTGAATTAGAATTATATTTACTCCCAGCAAAATGCAAATACTCAGTCTTCCTTCTTGCAATCACTGAAGCTTGGCTCAAGCAATGAATTATCTGCTGGAAACACGGTATAGGCAGGAGAACCAGCAATGAAGGGAAACAGGAAGAGGAGGGGGAAGAATTAAGTATTTTTGTCTATTTATGGAGACAGTTATTGAGATGGCTAAATAAACAGCTACGAAGCCCTAAACTCTCTGGTCCACGAAGTCCCATGTATTTTAAAAGCATAAGGTTTGCAGAGCATTTTAGCTCTTAACTCCTGGCAATGCTGCCCATAGATACAGCTCTGAGTCAGATTTTCTTACTGTTTATTTGTTATTTGCATACCCTTTGCAGTAACCGAAGCCCACAACTTCTTGCCTTACACTCCTCGTGGTCACTGAGAATAATTAGTCCATTTCTTGCAGCAACCTCATTTGATGTACTCTACTTCCTCACCTCTCAATCTTCTTCAGAAAAGCCAAACACTTATTGTTTCCTCACTGGTCATGTTTACCAAACTTACACTGTCCTCATCTTAACCCACACAGACACAAGGGGCTCTGTATATATTTAAAAGAAAGCACTGCCATCTTTGGATGAGAAAATTGGAAAAACAGTGCTATAAAGGGAATTATATCTGCTCTACAGGCTGTAATCACACCTAGAAATTTGAAAAAGGCAGAAATGGAAGCAGGGAGTCTCTCACACAGCAGTTCTCTATTACACTCAGTAGCCTGTTTTTTTAACTCCCATATTGTAGCACTGGGAGCAGATAAAACTGGCTGCCACCTGCACAGAAAGCAACCTTCCACTTCAGTATGGCCAGAGAGACTTCTTTTAATTAAAGACGCATTGAATTTCAGAGCTCATTCTTGAGATGTATTTTAGAGCTGCATCATTTCTAAGCAAGTACCTGATTTAAGTGGGCATCACACTTTTTCTAAGCAGCTTTAGCTTCTGCTGTTCTAGACAGGCCTTAATGCCCTACACACCTAGCATGCTTAAAAGTACTCTTTTGAACAAACATAAGCTATACTGTTTTACACGGGACCGCTAACGCATACAGACAGGGAATACAAGGATGAATCTTGTTTTACAGCACTCACTTCCAATCACGAGAGATAAAATACTGGAGCTCCAGGAGCCTATGCTCGCAGTCCTCTACCATCTTCTCAGTATACAAGTGCTCCATCAGGCACGACAGAATCCTGCAAGCAGAAGAAAAGAAGTTAGGCAACTGACTGTTACAACCATGCTGAGCCTCCCTGTAACAGTTGGTGTTACCAAACGAGTCTTTTAGATAAGACGTTCAAACACAGGGAAGATCTTGCTCTTCAAAAAGATTACATCTAAAACAACTGTACCACATTTGTGCTCTCTTAAATTCTATTGGTTTAGTTATCTCAGCAAGTCTGATATATGACAAAATCACAAGGATATTTTATATAGAATTTGGCTCAGGAGACAATATATACCAGACCTGAAGAAAAAGGAGACATTTGTCTCCGCAGTACAGGTTTGCTTAACTTTTGTGATATTGCTAAAGACTTACATAGTAAGAGAAATTAGTGCATCAAGTGTTACAACTATAATCTAAGTGCTCAAGATAGCTAGATCCTTCACTAGTGCTAAACCAGTCCTGTTATAAAAATACTAGCCTGCTTCTACAGCAGGAACGAAGACAGAGCTTGGTTCACGCATCCAACCCTGTGTCAATTGCTAGCTTGGAGTCCATCACTTCTGGGCAGGTTTTAGTATCTATACTGGTCAGTCACACAACCTTCACGGATGTCCAACAGAAAGAAAAATCAGTTGTAACTGAGGGGCACCTACATTGGGTCTCCAGACCGAATGTGCTTGCAGGCAGTCTGTATAACTGATTCACAGGCCTCATTCAATGCTCGGTCGATGCGGTAATCTGCACCCGGGTCAGTCTCTTGAATCAGTGTTTGAAGCTGGAAGAAAGAAATTGTGGATGGGAAAAATTAAAATGATCAAAACGAGAGCACTTGCAACCTCTCAGCACGGGAATTCTACAGCAGTAACAGCACTACAGGTATGACCTCCGCTCTGCAGTTGCTTATTTCAAGTGCTTGTGCTGCCAACCTCAATCACCAGACATGGGAGTCCAGTGCTACTAATTACCCTTATGAAGCAGCCCAGGGACGTTGGAGGAGACTGGTCACACACTGAAGGTCAACTGTATTCCTGGACCACTTATATACCGATTTACAAAATGTGAATATTGTATTTTTTGATCTGTCCTCATCCCAGAAGGCTGGTGATACCAAACATGCAAATTTGTCACACTTCCACAAAGACTATCTACTGTTCTGAACTGGAACCCAAATGAATGTTTAAAGACCAGTTGCCTAACTATAAACAAAGCTTAAAGCATTTTTGAATTGCCTGGAGAGGACAAAGAAGTTTCACTGAAGTACAGGATAAAGTGTCCTGTGTCCTGCTGGCCCATGAAATATCATTTCCTCAGGTATGCCTGCTTGAGCTTTTGGAAGCCAGAGTAACCACAATTTGGTCTATATTAAATAATTTTAAATATATAAAGATAAAACTATGTAATTATAAAAATAGATT